GCACAAATGCTCCACTGAAGACCGCGAGGTGTTGATTGCGGGCATCTATGAGGCTCTGGTCGACTGGGTCATCACGAAGGCCAACGAAAGTATCGCAAATGAGCTCCGGGCAAACCAGGAAGGTGACTCTGGAAGCGGATCAGCCGGCCAGTGGTCAGATGAGGACACCGTGGGTATCACAGTCGTGGATATCCCTAGACCTGCCTTTGGCAAAGCTGTGGCATTGAGAGGAATCTTTGATGATACCCTCGGTATCAATGCGGAGATGAAGGAGGATGGCGTCCAGATTCCCCCCATCGGACACTCTGTACTCAATGACTTGAACAGTTCCGTGGCGCAGGTCGAGCCAGATTTGGGGATCAACACTGGTCCTGCCTGGCGCGAACGGGAATATGAGCTCGACAAGAGACAGGAGGTTCTGGAAAAAGTTGGGTTAGAGGTTGATATGGACTCGTTCCTCCGACAGCTACTGTTTCCCGTGGAGGCGGAAGGGATTACTGTTGGCAAGAGAGGGCGGTTTGACCTTATGACTACGCTGGGTAGCAGTCGAGTCTGGCACCACATCTCGATCCATCCAACCGATGATACCCCTGACTCCTTGAACGCTGCCTCGCCCACTGCTGCCTGGTCTGCAGGTGCCGTTTCCCGCCAAATACGCGAGTGGAGACTTGCCGAATGGGCCAATCGGCGTCTCAAGCAGATGGATTTTACGGCCGACTTTGACGTGGAGGAGTTCGTCAGCCGCTATTCGCGACTGGGCTGCAGAGAAGGGAGGGACGGTGTGGAGAGCTGGTTGATGGAAAGAGGCTGGACCAACGGCGATGCCTTTGTCGGTCGTCAACGAATCTGGATGCGAGAGAACGCATGGTGGGAAGCGGAGACGATGCTCGATCTCAAGCCGGATGAAACACCTGGAGCAAACTCGTACATGTACGGCAGTGGCATGCTTGACACTGGCATGGCGCAGTACGCGGCGAATCCCATGGCGGAGTCCGCCAGCCTCTTGGGCAGTCGGGATAACCTACAGAGACAAAGCATGTTGGCACCCAGTGTCGGAGGGGGAGCGAAATCCATCGCTCCCAGTATGCCAAATACCTTGAACATGGCTGGTGACTATGGTCTCGGAACCAAGGGTGACACCAAAAAGTGGGATAACCAACTTTACGACGGCGACGACGGCCGATACACGGGCGAACTTGATCCTGAGTTTGGCAGTCCCAAGCATATCGAGAAGAAGGAAATCACTTTCGGTCGGCGCGTCTGGGCAGGCTTTGTCTGGGCCATGACCTTCTGGATCCCATCCTTTGTCCTTCGCTACATTGGCCGCATGAAACGTCCTGATGTGCGGATGGCCTGGAGGGAGAAACTGGTTCTCGTCTTCCTCATCCTTCTGTTCAATGCCATTGTGTGTTTCTATATCATGGCGTTTGGTGACCTGCTCTGTCCGAATAAGGATAAAGTCTGGAACTCCAAAGAAGTTGGATATCACCAGGGTGACAACGATTTCTATGTCAGCATCCACGGTAAAGTGTACGACATCAGCAAATTCTGGAAGATTCCGCACGGTGACTCGGCAGGCGAGTCCACCACGTCGACCATGGAGCCCTTTATGGGCCAGAACCTGGATGCCTACTTCCCTCCCCCCTTGACTCGATTCTGTTCACCAATGGTGACGGATCAGTCAATTACTCTCTCAAATAATGACACGAATGCGATCTTGTATTCCTATGCGAAGCACGATTGTGGTCCCCTGACCCACGCCTCCACGACCACCGCGCTACACAACATCACCTGGTATGAGGATACTTTCCTACCAAAGATCCGCGAATACTACAAGGGAGATCTTGTCTGGACGAGAGGAACTGTTGCGAAGCAGGCCGAAAATAGCCAGCGATACTGGGTTATCGTGAACCAAAACATCTATGACTTGACGGATTACTTCTACACATTGGATACGATGAATGACTTAGACACCTACAACTTCCTACCAAGCAGTGTTACGGATCTTTTCAAGAGTTATCCAGGCACTGACGTGACCGACAAATGGCAAGATACTGAAGATTTCAAGAAATCTCAGATATGTCTCGACTATGTGTTCTACAAAGGGAAAGTGGATTTCCGCGATACCCCCCGGTGTACCGTCAATAACTGGATCCTGCTCGCCTTCACAGTTCTCATATGCTCCGTTATCCTTGTTAAATTCCTTGCGGCTCTACAGCTTGGGTCCAAACGTCGTCCAGCCCCGCAAGATAAGTTTGTCATCTGTCTTGTGCCAGCATATACCGAAGGTGAAGATGCGCTTCGCAAAGGTCTTGACTCGTTGACAGCCCTACAATATGACAACAAAAGGAAACTCATCTTCGTCATCTGCGATGGCATGATTGTCGGCGGCGGTAACGATCGACCAACTCCTAAGATCGTCCTGGACATTCTAGGCGTTGATCCTAAGATCGACCCCCCTGCATTGCCGGTCAAGTCTCTCGGACAAGGAAGTGATCAGCTCAATTATGGCAAGGTTTACTCTGGTCTTTACGAATACGAGGGCAATGTGGTTCCTTATATTGTTGTTGTCAAAGTCGGTAAGGAGTCCGAACAAAACCGGCCGAAGCCCGGTAACAGGGGTAAGCGTGACTCGCAAATCCTTCTGCTCAACTTCCTGAACCGTGTACATCACCGTTCCCCGATGTCACCGCTGGAGCTGGAGATGTTCCATCAGATCAACAACATCATCGGAGTCGACCCTGAACTCTATGAGTACTGTCTGATGGTGGACGCGGATACAAGTGTTAGAGAAGACTCACTCAATCGACTGGTTGCAGCTTGTGCGAATGATGCACGAATTGCCGGTATCTGCGGTGAGACCAGTCTTCAGAATGAGGAACGAAGCTGGTGGACAATGATTCAAGTCTACGAGTACTACATTTCGCATCATCTGGCCAAGGCTTTCGAGTCCTTGTTTGGAAGTGTGACATGTCTTCCGGGATGGTAAGTGTGACGATCCGTGACCTGTTTCTCAATCTCAAATTACTGACACGCTGGTTAGTTTCTGCATGTATCGGTTACGAACCGCAGATAAGGGTCGACCTCTGATTATTTCGGACCAAGTTATTCGAGAATATGCGGACAACGATATAGATACTCTCCACAAAAAGAATCTATTGTCTCTGGGTGAAGATCGTTTCCTCACTACCCTGATGACGAAGCACTTCCCGACTATGTCCTACAAGTTCATTCCGGATGCCTATGCCAGTACCGCCGCTCCGGAGACTTGGTCCGTTCTTCTCTCTCAGAGACGTCGGTGGATTAACTCAACGGTTCACAATCTGGTTGAGCTTGCAGCTCTGAAGGATCTGTGTGGCTTCTGCTGTTTCAGCATGCGATTTGTGGTGCTGGTTGACCTGATTGGAACCGTCATCCTTCCGGCGACCTGCGTCTATATAGGTTACCTGATCTACCGTGTCGCCAGTAACACCGGCCCGTTTCCATATATCTCCCTCGCTATCCTGGCAGGTGTGTACGGTCTCCAGGCCATCATTTTTATCGTCAAACGGCAGTGGCAGCATGTCGGGTGGATGATTATCTACATCATGGCCTTTCCGATCTACAACTTTATCCTGCCACTGTACGCATTTTGGAAACAGGACGATTTCAGCTGGGGTAGTACCCGTATTGTCCTTGGAGAGAAGGGCTCTAAGCGAGTTGTAGCAGTGGAGGATGAAGTATTCGATCCTCGGAGTATCCCTCTCCAACGCTGGGATGACTACGCCCTGGCGAACAACCTCCCAGGCCGTCGAGGCGACTATGGCGTCAGCCAGGAGAAGATGTACAGCCGCTACGGAGACGAGGCAGTCATGGAGATGGATGATCTTCATTCCAACTATTCCTCAGTGAAGCCGGCATCTACCATCCTCACCGGATTTCCCCAAGGCCGGCACTCGAGTCCGTACATGCCACCGCAATCGCCAGCTCCATTTGGCGGGAACATTCCTGGCAACCGCAACTCGCATCTCTCGAGCTTTACCAGATATACTGACAACCCACACCAGCGGAACATGTCAATGGGTAACCTCAGCCATTACCAGGATAGCCCTATGGGCATGAGTCGGCACAGCGTGGGACTCATGCAGAGTACGGACAACCTGCTGGGAGCGCGGCAGAATTCACGCAGTCCCCTCGGTGGCGGCATGAACTCGAGACCGGTCAGTGCGTTTGACTTCCGGACTGGTGGTACCGGACCGGATGAGGGCGCCATCACAGAAGCGATCCGCAGCTGTCTCGCAGAGGTGGACCTGGACACGGTGACTAAGAAGCAAGGTTAGTTCTCTTTCCCGTATATGGGTATTCTTCCCTAATAGCTCTTTAGTTCGTGCTTTGGTGGAGCAACGGCTCCAGACGACCTTGACTGGCGACAAGAAGGCATTCCTCGACCGCCAGATTGACCACGAGCTGGCGAATATGTGAGGTCGTACTATCAATTTTCTTTCGTCTTACCTTCAATCTGAACGAAACCACTCTTCTATTTAATATGCACTGTACCACTGCAAGTGAGCTATGTCGCAAATGCTTTTCGGTATGGCATGCATGGCGTTTTGGGGGAACTCTTTCAAGCAGCAGCATATTGCCAGCGGTCATTACATATTTGGTGATGGGCTGTTAATACTGAGTCAAGACCTATAGTTTTTGCATTTATGTTTGTGGATTCTATGTATGTATCAAAGAGAAGGCATTCCCTGTGCCTGTGGATAGAGAGAATTTTCTACATAGTAGTAACAGCCATGTCAATACACGCATCCAATCATCTTCTCATCTCAATCTTCTCGACTGCAGTCAACTTCTAGTGTGGCACATGAGGTGGGGTAATCAATGCATCTCAGTCTATTCGTATCTTCTATCCTGCTCATATCTTCAAGTACATATACACAGCTTTCACCAACGCCATCCTCTCAAATACTTCAGATCTAGTTCTCCATCATCATCATCCCACTCACCAGCAACCAACAATGTCCACCCAACCACCACAGCAACAACAACCCACCTCCTCAACTCCCCCGTCCGCTTCCTCACCAACTCCCTCCCAACGCACCCAAGAAGCCAAAGCAGCCTTCACCGCCTCCCTCCGCTCCGCCGGCGCAAACTACGACGCCGAGCTCCGCGACCGCGCGCGCACGCTGCACGAGAACGGTGCCGCGCTGGACAAGCAGGAGGCCGAGCTGCGGCGGACGACGGCGGAGCTGGGACGGCAGAATGAGCAGTGGGCGAAGGTGGCGGATACGGCGCGCGAGGGGCTCAAGGAGATCGGGGACGTACAGAATTGGGCGGAGTTGATTGAGAGGGATTTGTTGGTTGTGGAGGAGATGTTGAGGGAGGTTGAGGCGCTGTTTCTTATTCACATCTGACGCTGCAGACGATCATACGCGTGTAGAGTGCGGAGGTGGTCGGTTTCATCCACATGATGAACGTG